ATGCCTTTTATCTAGAAAAGCCGATCTCATTGTGCCAAACATAAGCTTGTTAGGAGTATCCATACCTTTGAAGACATCCATTTCGATGCTTGGGTATCACTATCAGCAATAACCTTCCTTGGGAAAACGTGAGATCAATTGCTAAAAGTGCATCCCAAAAACTTGGTTTTCTGTTTCGGGCCAGGAGCTATTTCACTTCCAGTCTGGCTCTATTTTATAGATTTTTTCAAGGACAATGCTCTTCTGAAATATCAACAATTGTTTCTCCGCATCAGTCCCCGCGAGATTAACCGTTACCACCAAACGGATTAACCCGTCGAGTTGAGACTTCGCACCCCTTCGTGGTCACTTTGGTGACCTGCAGAACATCTCTTTTCAAAGACTCGTTCATCCAACGAACAGCGAGTCTCTGGAGCACATTGCCAAGGGAATAATCTCCAAAAATTTAAGAAGAACACCAATTCCGGGCAATTCCTACCTTATTTCCCTTGGTCCTCACGATATTCCCTGAACATTACATGATATCCCTTTTCGTGGGAACCAGAACATAAAAAAAGCGAATCCTACATATTATGTAGATACTCAGTATATACTATAGCTGTGGATTAATTATTCCGTATAATCACCAATCACCACACCTATGCATTTTTATCGTGCCTGATGGTCGATATATTGGGCACCAAAGTATAATTATCAATTTTTTTAAGTCTAGCGAGTCCATATGGGATGGGATGAATTTTTGTACCGTTAATTATGTTAAGGATTCCAGTTAACCAGTCATAAACCAAATCGGTTGTGATAACGGCATACGATACGAGCATCAGCATTCGCAGCAATGTTGGACATCGAATATATGTATAAGAAGTTCAGTGAAAACAAGATTTGCGCACTTGAGAAAGGTTTATAGTTCACAGTTTTTGTAAGAATGTTGATATAATGGTAGGTATCCACTTTTATCACTCTTGAAAAATGATATAATTATATCTTTTCAAAACGTCGAAGTTGATGTCCACTTCTGGAGTAACCGAAAATGCCGCCATCATGAAAATATTTTCATTGAACAGGATTAATTTTCATGATGAAATATTGCAACTGTACGGTATCTAATGCTGGACTTATATCGGTTTCTCTGCGTTTTTTGAGAAAATGTAAACAAAATGTTTTATAGTTGGAGTCTTATATTTGAACCTCTGAATAGCAGAACCTCCGTTATCCTGAATATTTTATGTGAGCAATTTTTTGCCAAACAACTTATTTGATGAGATATAATTCCTGATGTTAGGAAATAAACCCCACATTCAGATTCACCCTGTATATCTTGAATTGACTGTCGTTATACTTAAACTTCAAATTTTTTTAAAAAACTTCCATTCCACATGTAGATTGCATTTTTTTTACCTGTTGAACTTGAATATGTAAAAATATACAGGGTGTTCCGTTTGAAAGAAACAAAGTTGCGGGAATTTCCAGGAAAAAACGGAAGTTTGCTCTATTGGATTGTAATGTGATCAAATTCGAAATGGTTGCTTATATGTATAACTGTACTAAATTCCAGAAAAATCCGTTTATCAATGCGGAAGTTACAGTAGTGATGGCCCGATACTCTGTGTCTCCCGGATATTGTGAAATCGTATTCAAATTGGCAGATCAATAAGAAAATGGCTGAGCGTTTTAACGTTTTTTTCATAAACACTTACACCCATCATCAGCAATAATTATTACAATATTATCGTGTGACGATATCTTATAACGTGGGCATCAACGACTTATATTATTCAGATTTCTAGTCAGCCTTCCCATGCGTTCCTTCCTTCCAAATCGAATATTTTGGTTTCTCATTCCATTATTAGATCTAGTAAGTAATATTGCAAACGTGTAGGTCAGTGTGGACATAGATTTTTATTCATGGATGAGGCAATGCCAACTTGTGAAAAGAATATTACATAATAATATTTCAGGGAATATTCGCAACTTGCAAATTTGACCTGAAGCAGAAAGTCAGTGCCATATGGAAAACATTTTTATCTACATCTATGGAGTCATTCATATATTTCTAACTCGATTTTCAACATTTAATGACAGACATTATTGTGATGAATCGAATAATAAAATAAGAGTAATAATGACAGTAGGATGACATCCCATCGTCTTGTCAAATTCAACTAGGTAGGTATTCGTTCTACTAGTTCTACTAGAGCACATCACTATACTACTGTTTGTGAAATACACGCAAATTCAAAAGACTCACCTTACATGGTTCTCATAGTTTTAATCACTTCAATTCTACAAATATACGGAAAATTGAGAATTCACTGTTTTTCATTTCCATCATGAGTAACCATAACCATAAAATAGGACTTGACACTTGACAGTTGCAGATTGGCTCACACTTATGTGCGGGCTATTCGAATATATTAGTCCAGACCAATCAATGAATAATCTGCAATAGTATGATTCATTTTACAACTGAGAAGTGAAATGGCATATAATACCTGGTAAGATTGACTGATATGTGATTGCACGACTTTTTTCCTGTAGATCCAACATTGTTTATCATATTTTCAGAATCAAAATTATCGAAATAAGTTATAAGCTCATCGTTGATTGAAATTTCTGTCAATAAGTTTTCGATGGAATTAATGAGTAATTGAAATCAGATTAACTGATTTTGCAATATAATAACTTTCATTATTTCCAAAGATATATTTCTGAACTCTCAGAGTTACTTTGATATTTGAATAGTTGTAGATGAAGCCTTCGTCTCGTACTGCAACATTCATCTTCGTGGGTAATTGCCATCATTATGCGCTCGTTGAATAATATACTATAAACTATGTATATATATCATTATTCAAGATTTTTTGGGATTTTCTTACCTCGTTTCTATTAAATAAAAATATGAATAGTATTTCAATATACTTGTAGTAAGGACAAATCACAAAATTTTCCTAACAGAGAGACTAAAAGAAAAATTCACCCGCTTGTCAGTGGCAATTTTTATTGAAAAAAGTTTGGAGAAGAGAAATAAAGGTATATAAAAAAAATATCAAATTTTTACTTAGCTTTGGACGTTTCGGGAACGAATCTGCTCCAGTTCTCAACATGAAAAATGGATTTTCTGTATCTCAAATTCGTATTTGTCCCGACACTTTTCAGTTATCAGTGACAATTGGTGACGTTGGCAATCAAATGAATTACAGGATGTTTTCATCAAGTAATCTTGAATTTACCATTTTCATTCTCAGATTTTAATAGTGAATACCATGTTCTATCTATATCAACTGAACAGGAAGCAATGCTATTGTCTCCGTTCAGAAAAATGCAAGCAGATTCCTTGATTTTTTTTCTTCTGGTTGTTATCTTCTTCTCCAATGATTTTAATATTATTCCACTCTGCCATATGTTGTCCATCTTCAGTAAGGATATGTTCAGCTAGTTTCGATTTGTCGATGTGTCTTTTCTTTATATTGTATATTATGTTCCTTCGTCCTTACTGAAAGAGGTCTCTTGGTTTCACCTGTATAAAACTTTCCACAAACACAAGGTATACTGTAAATACAATTTTTTGACGATTGTTCTTCATTTTTCTGTTTTGTTCCAGTTAGAATTGATCTCATTGTATTTTCAGTTCTGAACACAGTTTTCACTTGAAATTTATCACCACTCGTTTTATTTTTTCAGATATGCCGAGAATGTATGGTATTATATTTGTCGTTATTGATGGTTGATTTTGTTGTGGTCTTGTTTGTTTCAATTTATTATTGATTTTCCTCGAAATTGTATCACTGATGAAAGTTTGGAGTCTCAGAAAATGAAAAATAGCAAAAAAATAACCATATTTTCTCTGATATTCGAATGAAATTAGAGAAACTAGAAAAAGAGTCAACTACCGAGGATTGACATACAGGGTGAGTCATTGAAATGGGAAAGTGAAATAACGCCTTTGCTGTTTGAGATAGATGAACAAAAATTGTTGTGATGATCTAGGCTCGTGAGCAGCACATTTCCAAAATATTTCGTTTTATACAGGGTGACTTAAAAATGCGTGACGTATCAAAGTTATACTTTTTCTTATGGGACACCCTGTATTTCATTGTATTTTCGGATTCTCCTTTGTGAGCTGATTTCATCAATGCATCACACTTGGGTCTAGCAAGAATGATTACAGAGATATAGGGTGTGCAAAATCGAGATATTTCAACTTTAGGATTTATTTGGGTCGAAACTATTCATTATTGGTCAAAACGGCATACATGTCCCTATCTTAACTTTTGATTTACTATCTACTGTTATTTAATTTGGACGAATACAGGGTAGTTCATAATTCTGAATTTTGAACTACCCTGTATTCGTCCAAATTAAATATCAGTAGATAGTGAATCCAAAGTTGATATAGGGACATGTGAGCCGTTCTGACCAATAATTGATAGTTTCAACACAAAAAAATCCTAAAGTTGAAAAATCTCGATTTTGAACACCCTATATCTCTGTAATCATTTCCGCTAGATCCCTAGTGTGATACATCGATGGAATCAGCTCAAAAAGGAGAAACCGGAAATGTAATGAAATACAGGGTGTCCTATAATAAAAAGTATAACTTTCATACGCAACGCATATTTGAGTCACCCTGTATACGCAAAGTAATTTAGAAATATGCTTGTCATGAGCCTAAACCATCACAAAAATTTTCATTCATCTATGTCAAACAGAGAAGTCGTTATCTCACTTTCCCATTTCAATGACTCACCCGGTATATACGCATCATTCTAAAGGGTACTAATTTTTTATTAAACCTTTCCAGTTTACTAAAAATTAGATTCATTCTCAAAAAAGGGGGTGATCTTATATTCTCAGTTTGGAGAAGAAAGAGTGGGGGTTGCCTAACAATCCCCTACTACAGTTTCGTCATACACGTTGAAAATTGAAACTAATACTAAACTTTATAGTTCATCTCATTTCAGTTATCCAATATGATGAAATATTTTCGTTTTTTTTTACAGATTGTGGGTATTTTATGTATGGCCCTAGCATCACCTGCATATTATGGAGGAACCGAATTTTTTCTCTTCGTCGTCATAACTAGTTTCATATTGAACATAATATGGATATGTGTCTATCTACTGGGTATCAGAGAAGCGATCAATGGGCCCATCAACTGGATATTAACAGTGAGTACCTTTATTTAGGTTAACTTGTCTAATACCACACTATGCCCTCTCAAATATTCTTCGAAATATTTGAATTTAGAAAAAAACAAAACTATCCCTATTGTATTGATGTAGATACGTATTAATAAATTCGTATGTCTTATGCAGAAGGCAGAAGCAAGTCTAATGATGAAATATGAGCATCTTCGATTGCTCGTCAGGTTTTCCTTCTAGGACTTATTGACATTTGGTTCTACATCAAGTGCGCGTTCTCAGGGCACGGTGCCCTTCATTTTTAATGAAAACCCCTCTTTTTACCAATATAACCACGATATTATGATGATAGACATCGGCATCCAATTTAAAATTCTGTTTCACCTCCACTTTTGGTTTTTCATAATATATATCTTTTCACATGCCTTTGCTTGAAGTAACTTTCAAAAATGGCTGGAGATGGACTTTTATGAGACCGAAATATGTCCCTTTGATTGATTTACATTAGTAATAAAGTAGTAGAGATGACTTTCAGCTTTCCTTCTTCCTTTTGAAAAATTTCCTTCCATTTTGAGCAAACATGGACTTCTACCAGAGATTTTTCTATATGGTTATAATTTTTATTTCGTGTTTATTGTTGTGCAGTTTCATTTACTTATTTGTATTCTTTCTTCTAGGAACTGTTGAATACTGGAATTATCACAGTCTTCTACATTATAGCCTTCATCGTACAACTCATCGTGTCTGCATCGATAAACCATTTATATAGTCATAGGGGGCCGTACATTGCTGCTGGGGTAATTATTTATTACTAATTATACATAAAATTCCACTTTAGATTTTTAGTAAAACACAACTATGTTCTTATAATCAATTGAATTTGATTGTAATAAAGGAAAAAGACAGTCATTAAGCATAAAAGTCACAGTTTCTGGAGAAAAATAGATATCTGGCAACGTAGTTGGCTTTTCGAATTCGACATTTATAAATTATTCTTTTCAGTAATAGCTTCAGCCGAATAATTTAGAACTATAGAATAGTAAAAAATTTAAATATAGGCACTCAATATGACTAAAACCATCTAAATGTAGTAATAGTTATTTATTATCAATCAAATCAAATATTTTTTCCGTGTATAATACACTATTTTTTTCTGTGACAGAAGAATGGACAAATCAATATTGAGAAGATTTTACATTATTTTCGAATCTGAGAATTATCGACGTGAAATTTCAAGTTTTTAACAGTAGGAACCTGCGTTGTAGGCATCTTTATCATTCTTTTGAAGTAATGAAATATCTGATGTCACTTCTGTCAGTCTAATTCTGTGATTTGATTTCAAAAATTGCGAATTTAGTGGTTGTTTAGTAATATCCGTAACCGCGAAATCGAATAGAAGATAAAAGGACTTGCAGTTCTTTCTCGGAGACGGTATTTTTGACTCATTTTTCGGAACTATAGCACAACAAAAGCCATCAACAGTGTATATATATGTGATATCTATCCGGGAAAAAAGTACTCACTTTTTTCCTATGGGAAAAAAGTAATTTATGAAAAGTGACATCTTATAACCTGCCAACAGAGATGAAATGACAAACTTAATATAATTTTCTCATCCTAAACATTATATTCGTGCATGGTTGAAATTGAAAAAAGTAAAAAATATTGGATATTATTGACTTTTTAAAAAATGGTTATAAGATTTTTTATTTAATTGCAAACGATTGCAAAATTTTCATTGGGTAGGTTTTCAGGCCAATCTGTCAAATATCTCGGGGATCGTTAATAATTTTACATTCTACAGTGTGGTTACATAATAGGTAGATATTATTGAATCATTTTTCTGAATCTCACAACCTAAGACGACCTCCATTTGGTTAAATATTGTCACTACACGAATACGGTACCAAATTTTATATACGATATTATTTATGGTCAAATCATCATCTAAATTCCAAATGATAAGAAAACATATTTCCAAATGTCTTTTTTATTCTCTCTGTCATATTCATTGATCATCGAGCATATCTTTCTCATATAGGTAATAGTATAAAAAATATCTCGACCTGAATATGAAATCTAATGAAATATAGGGTATCCTATAGTTGAAATATCTTGAAGTCGATCTCGGAAAAATGGGAAATGTGGCAACATTGGATCAATTTCTGATCATTAATATGATTTGACCACCAAGTTTAATGTTTATCAAATTTTACTAGGTATTGATCCTGGGATATTTGACCGTCTAATTAATATCAAAAATATCGTCAAACCTGGTTTAAATTCTTGATTTGTCATAAATTCCTTTTTTTTTTTCTAGGTTTTTGGCCTCGTCAATGCTGGTGTTTTCGGCTTCGCAAGCTACCTCCTCTCCCTCGAATGGAAGCGCAGCAAATCAACGAATTAACTTATTTTCGAACATTTTTAATTTAAGGAAATCTACGTCACTGTCTTAGGTTAAGCCACAACATTGTACTTGGACGCTCGATCAATATTCGAAAAATGAACAAAACTTGTTCACAAAATACTTAGATGTGGCCTCGAAATGTCTAATAAGGTGGTCTTTTCTGCTGGAAAAGCAGCTATTCACGGAAAAAAGGAATTGTTGAATCAATCAAAATTTAATTGAATGAAAGAAATATACCCAAGTGTCATTTATGCACGACAAAATATAATCTTGAAATGAGTAAATCTATATTTTGCTTCAGAGCGAATTTGAAGATTAAATCAAGTAAATAAGTCTTGCATGAACTCTGGATCTTATTCAATCAAGCACATATATGTATTGCTTATGAAGAAATATTGAACTCAACTCAAACAATCATTTCGTTTGATTCAAAATAACAAGATATTGATTTTATCATATATTTAGTTGATTCAATGAAATATTTGGTTGATTCGAAGAAATATTTTGTTGATTCAATGAATTATTTGGTTGTCTCAATAGAATATTTGGTTGATTCAATGAGATATTCCGTTGATCCAATTAAATATTTCGTTGATTCAAGAGAAAGTTTATTTCTATACGACCAATTGTTTTGTTGAACCAACTTCACTATTGATTCGGGAATTTTCTGTAATTTCACGTCAATAGAATAAACTCAACTAGAAAACTAGTCAGCTTCTAGCATAGATCTACGGATCTACAGTCTTTACTTCTATTCAGCTGAAGCAAAACTATTTTGGCTTGCTAATCATCCTGAGTTCGATTTATCCAGCTGATATTCCAAAAAAGAAGAATCAGGCTTCACGTATATAATGAATTCGAGGCAGGCATAGACGAGGCGAAATGATCGCAATCTAGAGGCGGAAATTCAACTTGATGTAAAATGAACAAAATATATCATTGATAATACATATTTCGTTGCTCTATTCAAGCAAATGAATCGTTCGAAACGATTTCATTGCTAAATCGGAATAAGAAAACTTGTATGTTGTTTCAAAGATATATTCTCATCAAAATGAAAACGACAAAATGTTTATAGTTGATATCATACTGTTGATTCAATTAGACTACATTCTTGAATTGAACAAGCTGCTTCCATGAAATAATCATGTATCGGTTTGATTCAACAAAAAATTGCTCAGCCCAACAAAAATAATTCAAGCATAAATAATTTTTTGATATGTTGATGCAACAAATCCTTTTTTTCAGTGTTGTTTCATGCATTTGGCGCGATTTAGTATTTTTTATAAGTTATTATAGCTTGTTTTCGTAATTTGATCGTTATTGTAATTTAGACGTTTCACGAATATTCAAAAAAAATCAATATTTTCAAATTTTCTCGTATTCAAGGTTAAATCCTTTTCAAGTTGAATTTTTGGAATTTTGAAGGATATTAGCAAAATTTTATCTATAACATATAAAAAAATTGCATGCAAGTGTGGATTATTGAAAAAGTACGAGGTGTTTGGAAAATGTTCCGCATGATTTTATTCAAATTGGTACCAAAAATGACTGAAAAGTCAACTAAAATGACTTTTATAATGAGACTTTGCATTTTTGTTCTGTTTCCCTCATACAAGTTTGAGGGACAGATGGCTGCCCCCTGTATACGCCACTGTGCTTTTGTTGGCTGGTTAAGCAGCCATTTTTTCATGCATTTTTGTGATTCCATTTGTTCCATCATCTTGTCACTCATACATTATTAGATTATATGAATAAGAGCAAAGTTGAAATATAAAATACTTATTGGTTTATTCGGTAATAACCTATTATTTGTAAATGCATTTCTTCGACGCAACATTTTTTCACTAAATGTATTTTCATTTAGCAAATTTTGTGTGCCTACTCTGAATATCACTCAAATAAATGTTATTAAAATATTTTTATAAGCTACCTATCGCTTGATGTTATTTGGAAAATATAGATTCAATCGCAACACAGTTTATATAAAATACTTAATGTTTAAGTTTTCAGATTTTATCACGAATAACATATTGTACCTAATATATTTTTTTCAAATAAATAATCATTGTTTTGTATTCGTTCCTTCAATTCTATATGTCATTGTATCGTCTTATTATTGGAATTATATACATGGGTATATCGACATTACATGTAAGATGGCATATCAGCTTTTCCTTTAGGATTCTGAAAATCTTCTAGCGAAGTATTTTTCCACAATGGAAATAGGAACAGGAAAGTCAATCAATTTCTTAGATTTGCCATCAAGTAAAATGATAATCATGATTTTCCAATTTTCCATAAACCTTCCCACACTGATATCACTATTTATAATGATTCAACACATCATCATCAACATAAAATTCCAGCATATAATAGTATGATACACAGGCTAGTGAATGTCCCTCTTTCAGAAGTAAATTTCAATAAAGAGCTCAATATTATAAAACAAATTGCAGTCAACAACGGATACAACGTTAATTTGATAGACAGTATTCTTCCTAAAAAACTTCATAATAAAGCTATTCAAGAAGTTAATCCTACCATCAAGAATAATAATCAAAATTATAGAACTTTAACCTATTTCGAATCATCAACTGAAAAATTTGCTTCATGTCTACACAAACAAGACTTAAAAGTAGCATATAGAATAACACGTTGGGAAGGTTCATTAAAAATATTGAATACAAAACTTCTCACGGATATACAAACTCAACTGTGGATCTTGCCCTAAGGTATATATCGGTCAGACAGGTCGTACGTTTAATCAGCGCATTCATGAACATGAGATGAATTTTTTGAGAAAGGAAATAAATTCAACATACGCTAACAATGTATTAGAAAAAAACCATAGTTTTGATGACAATTTCGAAATTTTACACGTAGAAAATAAAGGAATAAAACTCAAATCATTTTGAATCATTAGAAATCAATAAACTCAAAAGTTCTAACATTTCACTTAACGATCAATAGTTCACCACTGCTGGATGTATTTGTTTTCTTAGTAGGTAATAATATTTAGTTGCTATCAACCCTTTCAAGTTGATCCGTTACACCGTATTTGAATGTAGATATTGTGCCTATTTTCCGATAATGAAGGTTTGTCGAACCTTTCCACAGGTAATCCTAATCCTTCAGGTTAGGAAAGTAGGATAATATCCTCAAGCCAAGGTTAGTATTTCACGAAGCTACTGTCTTAGCAAAACACAGAATTTTGTGGAATCTCATCGTTTTTCAAGTTTTTACAGAAGTATTTTAAGTTTGTTTTAATAATTGTATTGATTTCCGTTGAAACGAAAAGTCTCAGGGGTTGAGTGGGGTTGGAAAAATAATTCGGAATTAGAGGCGGAGATTTGGCTTTTATTATTCAATGGCAGAGTTGGAGGAATCAGTATCACCTTCGTCTGAAATAACATAACACAACGTAGTACCCTATCGTACCAAATAAAATGATTTTTGGTATTCATAACAAAAAGGTAGTTGTGCCGAAAATCATACTCTCAACAATTAAATTTGAAAATTTCACAGTCATCAAGTGCATTGAATATGATACAAAATACAACGATCACTAAGATTTCCTTACCTGAACTTACATAACACCAGGTAAAAATCACAATAAATTGCGTGAACAAGAAATAACGATTTCGAATTCCAACAGGGTTGCTACTTACTCAAATACCGAAAATGAACTGCCTGTATTCGAAAAGAATGAGTACCGCAGTGGTTTTTCTGAAACATAAAAACTTTACCCTAAATATCGAGAGATCGTGCCTATGAATGATGATTAAATAAATAAAGCGACGAAAGAAAAGACTAGGCTGATCCTAGAATGGAGCAGGGGTTACCTGCGAATTCTGTCAGGAGTGTCAGGACTGCTTACGGAGCACTGTCGTCTAAGATACCACCTTGGAAGAATGGATCAGAACCAACAAACGTACTGTCGATTCTGCTGTGGAAGACGAAACGGCTGAACACATATTATGTTCATGCTCTTACTAGAGAGACTATACCTAAGGTTCGATTTATTGTATCTAACGTAGTAGTTGGGTAAGGATCCTGAAATTTACTGGAGCGGGAGATATAGCAAAAATGCACTCTATGACCAAGTGGAGTCTTCTCCCAATTTCCGGAAAATGATATTAGGAGTTGAAATAGGTCGAAAATCACCTCAGATTCGGAATCAGGACGCCCAATTTTCTAACCATTCATATTTTCCCTGGAAAATTTCCAGTTCTGAAAAATTAAATTTTGTCGCACTTTTTACGGAAGCACCACTGTATCTTACGTAATTGACTTTATCTTTGGACTTTCCCTTCCTCCTGCAAATTTCAGAACCTTTCCTCAATAATTACGTGAGATACGAGGGTGCTCCCATGAGAAGTGAGACAAAATTCAAATTTTCTAAACTGAGAGGAAAACTATGAATAGTTAGTGAATCGGGCGTCTTGATTCCGAATCCGAAGTGATTTTCAACCTATTTAGACTCTCCTAATATCATTTTCCGGAAATTTGGGTGGTTCCATGGCTGTTGGCGAGCAGTGTATATCACTGAAGATTACCCCACTTGGTCATAGAGTGCATTTTTGGTATATCTCTCGCTCCAGCAAATTTCAGGATCCTTACCCAACGATTACGTAAGATACAGGCATCGTCCACCAATATTCTAATATTGGTGGACGATGATACAGGAGTGTTTCTATTAGAAGTGGGTCACACTGTATGAGTCACCTAGAAATATGATTTTCTTGCGATTTATCATTGGATTTATCCATATTGAGTGAAAAGAAGAAAGAATGTCATTCAAGAGGAATCTGTTAACATTTGACATCTCGTATTTGGATTGACTATTGATCAAATGGCCGTCATCTGGTATGATATTGTTCACTAAGTATATGAAAAACTCGCCATAAAAATTATATTTCGTGTTGAATTTTCTATATAAAAATGTATCATTGAAGTATACATCATGAGTTTATAAAGTGTCCAATGACAAAATAAGAAGAGCAAGTAAATGCATCCAACACAGGGGAGAAAAGAAGGCGAAATTTCGAACTTTTTCTTGAAATATCTTGATAAACAGTGGTTTGTTCACATTTTAATTATAAAATCGTGTTTTTCAGACAAAAATACGTAAGTAACAAAAAAATTTTCGAAGACAAACCCATCGTATGATAAGTGCAGTTCCACCTTATCTCCAAAATGTCAACAAAAAAAGCCATACCTACCTCCACCTCCTTTCCTCCCTAGGTACGCACGATGTTCTTCGAACATTATAGGGAGTCCCTTTCGTGCACTCCAAGAGATAAAAAAGCAGAACCAGATAATATCACTAAATCCCCAACCCAACCCGATTAGTAAGCGAAAATCGCGTAAATAGTAAATTTAGGTCGCACCGCATTTCGATTTCGTTCGTTCAACAAGCAACGTTCTCTCGAGTTTCACAGTTCTCAATTGTTGTTTTCTCACTTTGTTTAAACGTTTAAACAGTGCAGTGGGAAGTGTAAAATCTACCTTAACAGCTAGGTACAAGTAATACCAAAATATCTAAACACTCCAAAGTCTCCAAAGTTTTTCTTTTATATTTCTTTGACTACAACCAGCAGGGCATACTACAACTGGGCATCGTCCCATACCAAACTACCAAAGACAACAAAATACTCAACAGGTGAGATTGTTATTATGCGTAGTGTCATTAGTGTGTGTGTGTTATTTTGTAAGCTGTTGTTGTTTCGTTCCAGTTTTAATGATTTCAATGTCTATTCATATGTTGAACTTGTTGGAGATAAGACGACGTGAGTAATTTCCTGAGAAAGAGGTTTTATATTGATCGGCGATGTTATTGCTACGGCAGGAATAGTGAGTCAGACGAGATGAGCTTATTGCTATTTTAGAAGCATTGTGCGCGGCGCGTTTGGGTGTTGGATTTCAAAGTGATAAGGAGTGATATCATAGAAAATATTAGTTGATATCATCAATCATCACAATTACTTACTATAATAGTGCAAATATTAGTTTATTTATTCATAGAGTATTACCGAACGTAATTACCAACCCATACAACACGGGATATCCTATGGACGTCCAAATCATGTCCAATTCATGTCGGGATATCCTTGGACCTTTTTGGATATCCATAGGATATCCAAAATTCACCCGCGCGGATATAATCAATGTAATAAATTGTGAATATGAATTAAATTGATGAAAATTCAAATCTATGTGTGTACATAGTTATATTACTAGGAAATATATAATATATCGAATATGGAATTTTTCAACGTCTTCTTGGATATCCAATGGATATCCATGGGATATCCTGTATTGGAGCATTGAACCACGTCGTTGAACAATAACGCCCAGAATAACATAGAGATGTCGACAAAGTCGGCAGTGTCGGACTCACCAAACATATTTTGGATGTTCATGTGGGTCCCATATATTTAATAACAACTATATGGGTAACGTCCTATCCTTTCCTTGTTCAAAATTGAAGCCAGTTTTGAGAAACAAATGACAGTCTGACAGATGCGCATAGAACAGAGTAGAACTGATATCCTATATGAACACCCATGAAAACATAAGGGATATCTTATGGACGTCCATGAAGGATATCGTATGGACGTTCTTGAACGATGTTCTATGGACGTCATTGAAGGATATTTTATGGACGTCCGTGAAGGATATCCTATGGACGTACAAGTTGGTGGCCTCAGGACATCCATTGGACGTCCATGGGATATCCATTGGACGTTATTTGGATGTCCATTGGATATCCAAAATATCCTGAATGGATATCCTATGGACATCCATCGGATGTCCATGTGTTGTATGGGAAGGTACAAACACACCCTAAATAACTTTTAAGGTGCGACATATTTTCAACAAATTAATGAAATACCTACATAAATAAGGTAAACATTTTCTTCACCCCTTATTAATTCCAGACTTCCAGATATTATATCTCGTATTGTATGCCCCAAACAGCATCAGATATTCCATAAATCTCTATGTATACAAACATCGATTGAGAAAAATTTTGCCGTTTTCGAGTTATTCATAAAAAACAAAATTTTATCTCTGAAACCAACCTATTCTAATTCTTGATGATATCAGCTGTTGAAGCGTTGTCGATCGAATTTCGCAACACCCTGTATAATATGTGTGTATAATGAGGATGACTTAGATGATTGAAATAATTACTCATATTTTGATTTTATTAATTTGATCGATTTATTCATTGTTTTGTTTACGATTCGATTTCATGTGATTTTCAGATATAGAATCCTGCAATAAAAATGTCTCACTCAGTAACGATAACAAGGACTACAACAACTAGTACTACTTCAGCAATCATCCTTAATACAGGTTACCTCAAAACATGGCCGGGAATACTGAAGCTGGCAGAACTTGTAAGTCAATTAAAACCATGCACAGAGATTAACTTCTTATAGTAGTATAATGTATAGTAAAACACCCTGTAGTCAGTACCTACTCATGCATGTGAGAATAAAATAGAATCAGCGAATAATTGGCGCGAAAAATTCTAAACTGTTATGACGAATTTTTGAATGCTGCATAATTTTCTGGATTCAGCCAATTCAGTGATTCCTAAACACCATTGTTTTTGCCATTTTTCTATGATTATACAGCATTTTATATCCTTCTACTCTTACTTTTACATTTCGTATTGCATCCACGTCAGGTGCCATTTTTGGAATGAAATAAAGAGGACTAGGTCACTAGATGACCTAACTTGTTTATAGATATCTGATGATATCATACCAATTATGGAATTTATATACGTATAAACACTGGAAATGTTCGTATTCAAGGTAATACAGGTTTGTTTTATTCAAATCGCCGCCATTTTTGAATCGATTTAATAGACATTGAAACAAATTCTTTCGAGAATAACTACAAATCTCAATTTTCTGACGTTATCGCGAAGCATAATGCAATATTTCTAGATATTGACAGTTTTTTTAGCTTCGTTGAATTCAGCAAATATTTTTCATCAGTTCTGAAATGTGCACAAAGATTTGTTGTTGCTTTCATAATGAACGAATTGAAATTAATTGACGTCATCAGTCTATTTTTGAATTCCCCATTTCTGTTGCAATGTGTTAACACAAAAGTTAATTTTAAATTTTGATTATATACAAAGGGATCGCTTTTCATTTTTCTTGATGATTTTAATATAGATGCGGAGGACACTTTGGTTGTCCCAAATTCACACCACACTGGTGATTATGAACTGTAAGAATTTTTGAATTTATTGCAATAGGCAGCAAATGTGAAAATATCCAAAATTTTGATATTCAAAGGTGTTGTTTTTGAAATAGAAGAAATTCTTGATTCATCCTGAAGACGGGCCTAGATTCTTATTTTAATTTCAATTTCGGCAACGAGGTCCCTTATAATAATTGTAGAATTTTCCAACAAATTGTATTATCATTTCGTTGTTATCAAGAACTTTAAAATATGACAATGGTCCCTTCTGGGGGTGCGGATAACTATACCCCCGTTACCACATCCCCCTTTTTTACTCATATACCTGTTTCGCGGTAACACGCTGTAGATACATATTGTTATTTCCATTAATGTTCAATCACTGAGTGGTGAGACATGAGAAATAATCACAACCTGTTAACGCCGTGCGTTGCCATATGGCAACGCTAGTCAGAAGGAGATTCAAATAATTTCTAAGGACCCAAATAAGGGTGACAGACAGCCAACCAGATTCGCAAAAGAACTGATTATGCACAAGTCGCCAGTTCTTTGTTGTGAGTTAACTGGTTCGACCACGTAATTTTGTGAAACTTGTTTCCATGAAAGTGTTGTACATGCTTCGAGTTATATGTATCAGTTACATATTTGGAGAAATAGCAGAAATGTGTTTGTGTAGAATGATTGTGTCAAATATTCGTGTTGCCATCTGGCAACGCTAGGCGCTTATACTCTCTGGTCGGACAATCTTCTCGTCGTAATTTTTTTAATACGCACATTCCAATATGTGAAAAGTTGAATAATTGGATAACTGAACAGAAAGCGACGAAGTCATTCAGCACTTGCTAGAAGAAACCATCAGGCGGTATGCGTTATTCTTGATCAGTACTATTTTTATTCAAGCGAAACTGATCAAATGGATCACAATATTAGTTATTACCTCGCTTATTACCGTATTAGGAATTCGTACTGGCCCCTAATCACTTGGATATTAGTCGTAGCTATGCAGAATAGCTGGATTTTGACAATGACAATGTGTTCAAAATGTATTGTTGGTCTATGATGTGTTAATATCCCAAAACATGTATCACAAGCGCCTAGTGTGGCGCAGCATATTTCTGGGAAACTTGAAATCCATTTCTGTATCAATTTTTTTTCCTTTTTCGAAAGCATTTCAAACTAATTGAAGGCCATAAAATGTCAGAGAAAAAAAAATCTGCGCATAGTATTCTGTCCGCTCTCATTGATTATCGAAATTTCATTTCAAGGCATTCTTGACCATAAAGACAAGACTGGCATTGGGTCAAGGAAGCAAATTCATCAAATCTTCAAAACAACCTATTAATCTTTTATTATACATTTCGTAGGCGTGACATAATGAACATAATAATATACGTTGTATACGTGTTTGTAAAACATATAATACTGGCGATGAATGGTCCAGTAAGCAGTGAGGAGACCTGCAAGTACGTCAGAATTAACAGGGTGGGAACATATCTCTAGCTGACTCTTGTCAGTCTCGTCATCGATATCTGTTGATGAAACAACAAAACAGAAAAAAAAGGTGAACGAATTCGCTTAGAAGTCTCGAAAATATATTTGTGAGAATTTCAGAAACCTGACTTGGTCCCGATTTCGGCAGATTTGGCATTTCATACCCATGCTGGATATATAAATACATCTCATTATAGTTAAGCATTTTTGTTCTGATCAGGGAAGTCTTCAAGATTCACATACTTGCTTGATCTGTATTTCATTCGTTATTCTCGGGATGGATAACTTGTTTTTGAATAATCACGGCTAGCAATTTAGTTTTCCTGTCTCAAACAATGATATTGTTTATCTTCATTCGATTATCGAGCCATACACAGTGGAGTATGGAGAGAAATAAATAATCGCTATTATTATTGTTGATATGCTCACTAACCTAACATTTTCCACGTCTTTTTCCTATACCTGGCACTGGCGCGGTATTTGCTATTAGAGCACACAAATATGTCACTCTGTGGTTGTATTCATATTGAAACTACAATTCGAACATCCTTGAAAATTGAATAAACCTGCTGTTGATGCAGGTAGAATATTCTCACCACGCACGAATGATTTGTTGCATTGCATACATATGGCACGGCATTGGTGGTTACTTCACATATTTATTTGAGTTAATTCTTTCGCTTGCAGAAAAAATAGCATGTTTCATTCGGATCAAAAGTGACTTTGTTTGACAAGCGAATTTTGCATTTGCGAGGCGGAGCGTTTAGTCTCTGTTTATGATCGGTGGTTTAGCGAGGTCGAGCGGAAGCAAAATTTGCTTGTCAAACATCGTGTCACTTTTGATAAAACAATCTATTGATTGATTTCATAAACGATGAATTTATTATTTTCAGATTCTGGGCATAGTTGTAGTTGGTCTAGTAGGCTACTACTTCGATAGATACATGTACTATGCGAACACGCCCGAAGTATTCTTCCTTTTGATGGCGGTGACGTTCTTGATAGGAACATTTCTGCTCTTGACCTCGTGTCTGATATCAATATCAACAGCATCCATCATCTCGAAAACTGTTCACGTAAGTACCACTGAATTGAAAAAAAAAATACGGGAAAGATTCTTATGGTACTTAGAATCTCTGAATACCGATGAATTATTTTTTGTGATTTGGATCCTGATCTTTGATTTCTTATTATTTCCAGGAAGTGGTTTATCACGGTTTCGCCTTCATTTTGTATTTGGCAGCTAGCTTAACCTTTATCATTGAAGTTAACCACAGGAAACAACACTATTCTAGAGATTACGAACCTTACACTGCCGCTGCTGTGAGTATGGTGATATTCGATATCCCATTGAAATGATCAATGATGTACTTACTTCTCTTCAATATATGCCATTTTGAAGATTAATAATCAATCAATCAAATGACACCGATTTGTGCAGATTGCTACAAACGCTTGAACAAGAAGAAATTAATAACCATGTAAATTGAATTCCGAAACTCATTTTCTCGTCACTACTACTTTATCCTTATTTTTTACTCGAAATGACGCAAATCTGTGTCATTTGCCTCATGAAATGATTATTTATGTATCTAGGACGAAACAATGTCTATTATAGTCGAATCTACAAGACGAGACAATAGTTATTAGCCGAGATGCATCTTACATTTTTTCGTCGACCTTGAACACTTATATTCACATCACGGTCCGATTGGCAATTGAAATCTGTAAGATTTGGTGAATAATCAATTTGACAACAGCAAATGAAAGTTGTTGTCAACTCACTCTTCGCGCGGACCAGCGTTGCCAGTTCGATTTTATTCCATCAGTAAATACCTGGTCAAAAATTCTGTAGATTTCAATAGACTTGTTTGAGATCTATTTTATGCTATACGAATTTCAAGAAAGGATAATGAAATGATAATGTTGTCAAAACATTATGTAGTTTTAGTAAACAGAAAAGTAACCTTTTTCCAACAAAATAGAAACAAACAAAACTGTTATAACAGAGGTGTATGAGAAATTCAATTTGATCTGAATCAGATAGAGTATAGTCCTCTTTTGGTTTATTCATATCATAAGTACCTATATATGTACATTTATTAGTTATTTTGTAAAATTAATTTGAACAGAGCATGTGCCGAAATATCATTTATAAGTGTATGTGATTATCTAAAGATTAAAATCAAAATATTTTTCAGTAGATTATGAAATGTTTTAGTAGGGCAGTAGATCAATATGCAATTCAGGAGATCTACTGAAAATTCAGTATAACTGGCATCCCTGAAGCAGACAAAAAGTACTTGCCTTCGGTTTTTCATTCGAAAATTAGAACGTAAAATGTGATTATTTGTAGAGGTCGACAAAAAAATGAGTTATCAACTATGTAGGTAGGTATATATAATTTTTCCTTCTTTCAGATAATTGGACTGGTGATTTCCTGCCTTTACCTACTGAGTACAATATTTGCGCAGAGGAGCTATAAAGGGCTCTAAAAAGCTGATAAGAAGAATCTACAATTCACTCTTAATTTATTCAACAAAAATCATTCTGTTCAGGGTTGTCCAAATCAAATGTCATCACTGGTAGCTTTGTAATAATTATTAAAGTTGCAACATTGTTTGAATGAGCAAACTGAAAGTATTCTTAGCGCTCTTTAAATTCAAGATGAAAAAATGAAATACAAATCGAGCATCGCGTTTTCAAGAAAAATACAATTTCTCTACTTAGATACATGGAAACCCTTTTTTAACCGATAGTTTGGTAATTCAAACAATTTTGGTACATACATATTCAATAAAAACAAAGTTACTGAAGGCTACATCAATATTGTCGAAAATATAAGAATTATTGTCGATTCGTGTCAAAGTGCACAAAGTGAAACAAGACACTACATTTTTATTTATCAAACTAGATAGTGATAACAAATTGAACTTACACATGCCAAATACAGGGGACTCGTTAATCTATGTGCATGTTAATATCTAACAATATATTTTCTTAATTTCATTTTTTGACTAGGTGAAGTATGACTTCTAATAGAGTATACATAGTTCAGCACGTGAAAGAATATCTGCCATGGACTGACTATATGAGACGATTGCAACTAGTCGATTCCAGAATTGCGGATAATTTCATTCCGAAAACCGAATCATCATGTTTTTGTCTCTTGTAGGACTTATTTACAGGCTGATGATGGACATATGTATGTCCGAGAACATGTTCCTCCTGATGTGACATTGTTCACATAGTAAACTGTCGTGGAGATGATTTTGAGTTTTATTTATAGTTATTACATGAAAACAAAAGTTCAACCAAACAAATCGACCAGCAGATATTTTGTACATATTCGCATAAAAGAGAGAAAACTTTCATTATAATTCATGATATTTGTTCACTTTTGTTATTTTCAAATTTTTAGGACTTGTTTTCTCACCTTATGGCTTCACCTTTTGAACCACCTCACTTTCAATATATTTTGGGATTTATGCTCTTCCGAATGGTATTCGCAGTATCACAATACTTGACTGACGATTTAACAAATTAGTATAAAACGTATTGAATTTGGTAAACTTATCAGAACCATCTTCAGAAACGGGAATAATATTATTTTTTATCACTTTTCTCTAGAGTTCAGAAAACTTTGCAGTGAAAATACTACTTTTCAAAGTAACATAAAAAAATCGAAAACACTGCTCATCGCGTATCGAGATTTTTCAAAAGTCCAAAGATGGTGAATACTCATCTCGATAATCACTACACTCATTTGTAATGAGATTCGTGTTGCTAAATAGTTTCTTAAATGACGTCTCATCACGTTTTTATCAATATGCAGAGGACACCCTGTATACGGGAAAATTTACCTGCAACTGAATGAGTCGTATAGATATTATATCTATATGCTATTCAGCTATTGTATTCATGCATTTAGAGTCTGCTGGATTGCTTATTGCGTATAATATATGTCTTCGCTCTATGTACCTATAGTTTAACTACTGATTGTAATTTAGTTTTGTTATTTTTGTTAATGAATAAATACTAAATAGCATGTAACAAATGTTTTTGAAAAGTATACCTACAATAAAGATATGAAACTTTCAAGTATTCTTCCAATGCCTATCGAATAAAAGAAACTTTTGGCATCGTTGCATATTATTCAATGCTTCGCTTTCATTGATTTATTACCATCACGAATATTATTATGCATTTTATGTTCATTTGCTTTTTCATCTTCAATTCTTCATTTCAACATATCAAATGTAGTGAAAAAGATCAACTTTCAGGAAAATCTGAAGGTTTATCAAAATCCAGATGTCTCAATCCAAATCCTACAAGAAAATGATCCAACACCTCGTCTATCGAAAACAAATAATTTTTGAACAGTGACTTTGGAATTCCAATATTTATATAAATATTATAGTGGGTGTTTCACATTGGTAACTAACGTATGGGAGGTATTTTTGAAATCGTTTATCAAAAAATTATAAAATCTGGTACATCTGATGTTGAATCAAAATTCAACTGAGAAATTCAAAATTTCGATGGCATCATACTGGAGTGGTTAATTAAGCTTAAAAACAATCCCATTTTTTGTGTTTTTCATTTTCATGTCCTGATTACAAAATATGATACTTGAAGGTGTTTCAGGTGAAAACGTATGCCCAGTACATATCAATAGGGCTAGTAGTTTTAGAGAAAATCACAATATTCAAGATTCCTTTCTCTAGAAAAGCCGATCTCACTGTGCCCAACATATAAGCTTGTCAGGCGAGTAACCATACCTTTGAAGACATTCATTTCAATGCTTGGTATTACTATCAGCAATAACCTTGCCTGAAAATCACGTGAGATCAATTGCTAAAAGTGCATTCCAAAAACTTGGTTTTCTGTTTCGGGCCAGGAGCTATTTTACTTCCAGTCAGCTGCTTATGATCATAAGGCACAGATCCGACCTGTCCTGGAATAATGTTCCCATATTTGGAGTGCAGCACCCAAACATACCCTGAAACTGTTGGATTCTGTTCAAAAAAGGGCAATTCGTCTCGTTGGTGATGCCTCGCTCACAAACTCACTTCTCTGGAACACCGTAGACAAGTTGGCGATCTGGCTCTATTTCATATATATTTTCATGGACGATGCTCTTCTGAAATGTCAACAATTGTTCCTTCCTCCCAGACAGCACCAGATATTCCATGAATCTCCCTATCATATTCCTTTTGGAATATTGGAATATTCTAGAAATAATCTGGAATATTCCGGAATATCTGAGGAATATTCTCTAAATATATATGCGAATGGGAATTCCTCAGATAATCATAGAATATACCCAAAAGAATATTCTACGTTGAATGTTCCTGGAATATTCCAATAAACATATTCTAAAATAAAAAAAAGTGACCCAAGTAGGGATCGAACTCGTGACCTCAAGACTATCAGAGCAACGCTGTCAAATTCATTTATTTCCTCATTTCAATAAAACATCGACAATTTCAAACAGAACAAACAACTATAAAATGTATACATTATACTATCCTCCGCGCAGTGCGGAGTTGGCTGGTGTTAGCCAGGGGGAATGTTCGTTCTGTGATAAGAGTCCTGACACATGAGTCCCATCTCCTGAAGCAGTGCTCCTTTTAATGGGAAATCTCCGAGGTGGACCCAGTAGGGTCAATGGTGAATACAAACATTGGCGTGCTGGAAATTAACGTTTATACGAGGGAAAATAAAGTAAAAACCCTCTCCAGATGATCTGTCGCTTTGGACACGGCGCTCACCGCCCCCATCTACAAGCCACGCCCAGAATCGGCCGATAGGCCAATCAGCCGTCTAGGGCAGCCTGCAGATGTGAGCCAAGAGTCGCCAGCACCTCAGCGTGAACACTGCCCCACTGAGACGCTGCTGCTCTTGACAATTTCCAAGGACATCAGTCACGCGACATCCCTGGAAATTTTTAACATTTTCATGCTGAGGATCCTACAGATCGCCCAGGGGTTCCCTAAAAACATCGGTCGACTCATATATTAATCCATGTTTTTTATAGATTCCATGTTCAGCACGAGTGGAAGTGATGTTCCTAGTGAGTTCACTTCCCTGAACATGGGATCTATAAAACTTATTCGAGATTTTCAGTATATGATCTTTTATCATTGGTATGCCATGACACCATTCGTGAAGATCTACCACTCGGGAGTATCGATTACCATTGGTAATGATACGGAGAACTTTGTTTTGCAGCACCTGTAATCTACCTATTTGGGTATTCGAGGCGCTACAAAATACCGGACAGGCGTATGTCATTACAGGCCTGATAATCTGTTTATAGATCAAGAGCTTATTATCCAATGTTAGTGGGGAATTTCCCACCAACAAAGGATACAAGCTCCTGATCGCAGCCTGAGTCTTTTGTATTAAATAACTGATATTGTTCCTGAATGACAAACGTCTGTCCAGCTTTACTCCCAGGTATTTCACAACGGGAGAGTCCGTAACCTCCGCATCTTTTACAGTCAAAGGTCGCCGTAAAACGTTGTTAGTGTATTTCCTGCTGAAATTCATGACTTCTGTCTTTGTATTGTTCACGGCGATCTTTGACTCCTCAAAATACGGTATGACTCCCCTGTCCAGATGGATCTGGATCTGAGTCCTGGCGATGTCCGAGTCGAATGAGTGAGCATATAATGCTGTATCATCAGCATACAACGCTGCACTCGTCCTCTCGAACACAGGAAAATCATGCGTGTATATTGAGTATAGCAGTGGAGACAGACACGACCCCTGTGGAACACCCGCCTCGAGTGGAAAATCCCCTGAAACAGCGTCATTCACCTTTACTCTAATCTTTCGGTTTTCAAGATACGAGTCAACAATCCTAATGATATATATGGGCATTCTAGCCTTAGACATCTTGGACATTAAACCCTCGTGCCAGACGGTGTCGAAAGCCTTTTCGACATCCATCATGACCATAACAGTATTTTTGTCCTGATTAAAGGCCTCTTTTACCCCGTGAACAATTCGGGCCACTTGGGACGTGGTGCTATGTCCCTTGCGAAAACCGAATTGTTCATCAGGGATCAGGTTCAGGTCTTCGACCTGGGCCTCAATCAATCTGAGTAGAATCTTATCCACTACCTTGGCCACTACACTGAGCAGTGCTATAGGGCGGTAGCTCCCTGGTCGTTTCGGGTTCTTACCCGATTTGAGAATTGGTACAACAAGCCCAGTCTTTAGACACCCTGGATAGTGCTGGTACTTGATTATAGCATTGATAATATAATGGAGTTGGACCCTTGCCTTGCGAGACAGGTTTTTCAGGAGAACGACATCTATCCCGTCGAGCCCTGGAGCCTTATTTATATTCAGGTTTTTTATTACATTTTGTAACTCAGTGGGGTTGCATATGGCTCGACCCAGGACTCGATGAGTTAAAGGTACCACAGGTAGAGCCCTGATTCGGGTCGCTACGGCTGCCATGTCCTCCTGAACCTCTCCCTCAGGATTTTTATTGATCTTATTGATTGATTGAAAATGTTTCCCAAGTACCACCGCCTTCTCAGAATCTGACACCGCCTCCCCGCGATCACACTCCAAGGAAGGGACAGGGGTGCATTTTCTCTTCAGCCTCTTTGTCATCTTCCAAAGAGTGTTATCTCGGGGATCTAGGGTCTCCACCTTGGCCCTCCAGGTGGCATTCCTGAACTCTCTGATTTTGGTTTCTATCAGCTGGGCTGTGCGGCTGAAGTCACACCTTGCTTGGGGGGTCTTCAACCGCTGCCAGCGCCTTCTGAGTCTCTTCTTTTCGGCTATTAGCTCAAGAATGTCCCCTGGAAGAATATCCTTGGTGGAGTCGATACTGACCAATCTCGTCGTCATATTTCTTGCTGAGATTATAGCATCACAGAACCTCAAGGTCTCAGTATTAATCTCCGAGACACTGAGATTAGGATTAATAGTTATTTTATCGTCGAGCAGAGCCCTGAACCTCTGCCAGTCTGTGGTTTTATAGTCATATAGTTGTTTTTTAGTGTCGCGTGGTTTATCTCCAAAACTATACAGGGTGATTCAAAAGTAAGCGGCATCCTTTCAGAGGCGTATTCCTTGCATGAAAATAAGGCAAAAAGTTCCTATTGATAAGGATCCGAAAATGCTTCCTAAGGGAGCTACGGCCCTTTGAATAGGACACCTCAAAGACGGTTTTTTCTCTATAACTTTAAAATCCTTCACAACAAATTTTTAAAAATTGGTGTACGGCATAAACATTCGATGGTTAATAGGACTCCGTATTCGAAATAATTTCCAAACGAAATCACAGTAACCTGAATATCCGGAGAAGAAGGGATATTTTTACACTTACCCTCTCCCGCATGTGACGCCCCTGAATGAAATTCTGAAATTTCGAATACGGAGTCCTATTTACCATCGAATGTTTATGCCGTACACCAATTTTTAAAAATTTGTTGTGAAGGATTTTAAAGTTATAGAGAAAAAACCGTCTTTGAGGTGTCCTATTCAAAGGGCCGTAGCTCCCTTAGGAAGCATTTTCGGATCCTTATCAATAGGAACTTTTTGCCTTATTTTCAAGCAAGGAATACGCCTCTGAAAGGATGCCGCTTACTTTTGAATCACCCTGTATATCACTGGCAGGTGATCAGAGCTCAGCTCGTCGACAACTGATAGTGTTGACAATGACGTAACGTTCTTGGTCAGCACGATATCTATTATACTCGGTGTCGTTCCGTTAAAGGGGTAGTGCGTGGGACTATCAGGATGGTCCAGCAGGACATTTGCAGCCTGCAAGTACTCCCTCAAGACTCTCCCATTAGTGTTGTTCCCTTCGTTCCCCCAATCGACGTGCAAGCCTTGACCACTAGGCCAGTAATCGAATTGAATAACGTTATACATATCAAGTTCTTGTGAGAGCATTGTTCGAAATCGGATCATAAACACTTTTTGTTTCAAAATCCCCTTACATCAAATTGATGTTCGATAATACTTATATCTCTGAAATAATAAATGGTATTTATGTGTTGAGAAACATAGGAATATTCATGGAATATTTCATGAATATACACCACAGAATATTCAGTTGAGAATATTTCATGAATATACCGCACAGAATATTCAGTTGGGTATATTTCATGAATATACCGCACAGAATATTCAGTTGGGTATATTTCATGAATATACAACAGAGAATATTCAGTTGGGAATATTCCTGGAAGATTCATACCTGAATATTCCCTGAACATGTCCGACTATTCACTTTGGAATATTCCTTTTAGATGTTCCTGAGGCATGTATATATTCTAGGAATAATCGATGAATATTCGGAATATACTCCTCCTTTTTAGCATATTTAGAGAATATTCTATGAATATCCAGTGCTGTCTGGGCTTGGCAGTCCCCGCGAGATTAATCCGGAGTTGAGGCTTTGCACCCCTTCGTGGTCACTTTGGAGAACTGCAGAACATCTCTTTCCAAATACTCGTTCATTCAACGAACAGTGAGTCTCTGGAACACATTGCCAAGGGAGGTGTTCCCCGAGGCATATAACCTCCAGAAATTTGACAAGAACACTAATTTCTACCGATGTTCTCTGAACATTACAGGATATCCCTTTTCGTGGGAACCAGATCATAAAAAAACGATCAGCCTGGAGTGTAGGACAATGAAACGGATGGAGATAAAATTATTCTCCTAAGACGAAATTTGCGCATGCATTCCATCAATTATTAAACTGGAATAGAATGTCACACAGGAAAACACTAAATTCACCAATTCCAAAAATAGTCTCAGTGAACCCCAACCGTATGAGCACGATGCCCCCGCTATGTTTATTTCACTCTGTCTAGTCTAACGAACACCTTTGTGGGTTGGACCATTTTAATTTAAACTTAGAATTTGAGTATCCTATGACCCTTTGTGTTTTTTGAAAAAATGCGTAAAGGACCTACGATTGTGACTGTCAGTAGCGGTCAAAGTGGTATAAGTTGTTGCTGTTGCCGGTGTTGTACGTGTCTACAGCTGCATGTTCTGAAATCCGAACCAGGAGTCATCAAATTGGCAGAAATCGTAAGTATTTTACATATTCAATGAGTCATATTTGACAATTTTTATAAGGGATAATAGGATATTGAACGTTTTGATTCCATTGACAATCACTCTTTTTCCTTACTGTGATATTCTATTTCGCTCTATCTTTATCATTTACATTAATGAAAATTATTACAAACACTTTCACATTTTCATATGAACAAATTCGAAAATTATAATTAATGATTTTGGTTACTGGATATCTTTTCTAAAAACCATGTCCAATTGTAGTATTTTCTATCAAAATTTGAAGTTTCGCATCGATAAAAAAAATATCTATATACCCTGTATTTCTAACAAATAAATGAAATAGTTATTGATTATACAAGGGAAAAAAGTAGTAGATTTTAGCTCCGTGAGCTTAAATCTAATATTTTTTCCGTGTATAATACACTATTTTTTTCTGTGAATGAAGAAAGGACGAATCAATATTGAGAAGATATTCCATTATTTTGAAATCTGAAAATTATCGACGTGAAATTTTGAGTTTTTAACAGTAAGGACACCTGCGTTGTAGGAATCTTTATCATTCTTTTGAAGGAATCAAATATATGACACTTCTGTCAGTCTAATTCTCAGATTTGATTTAAAAAAATTTCGAATTTAGTGGTTGTTTAGTAATATACGTAACCGCGAAGTCGAATGGAAGATAAAAGGAGTTGTAGTTCTTTCTCGGAGACGGTATCATTGACTAATTTTTCGGAACTATAGCACAACAAAAGCCATCAACAGTGTATATATAATGTGATATATATACGGGAAAAAAGTACTCACTTTTTTTCCCACGGTAAAAAAGTCATTTATAAAAAGTGACATTTTATAACCTGCCAACAGAGATGAAATGCCAAACTTTGATATAGAGATATTTGTTGAAGAGTTGATTCCACAATTTCATCAGATATTTTAATTTGTTTGGGAGAATTCACAGTTGTACTACAAATGTTGTTTGTATTTCGTTTATAAAATTCGTGTATTCATATGGCCCAATCGAGAGAATTTTTAGCTGAGACCGCACAATCCTACGCACTAATAGAAAAATGAATACTTTCACAAAAATAAGGTTTGATGCAGGTTTAAGATGCAAACCTTTGAGGTGCTTGACTAGATAGCTAATTTAGAACTGATTAGCTAGACTTACCTAAAGTCTTGCGGTTTTCTTGACATTTGCCATTTTGGGATTTATGAAAAATCTGGAATACCTACTCGTGATGAGAGATGTTTTCTTCGTTTTTTACTCTTTCTAGAACCCTAATTCTCTGGTGTAGAACCCTAATACATTAGGCCCTTTAGGGAATAGAACTCTAATACTTCATATATAGTGAAATACGGAGGTAATTTAAGACTCACCTCATTGTTTCATCGAAAACAGTTAAGATATATGACAGTTTTGTATCATAGTCGTAGAAAAAAAAAATTATGTTACAGATTTTGGGATTTTTTTGCCAAAGCCTGGCCCTGAATTTTGGAGCAAACTATGCAGCAACAATTGGTACATCGTTCCAGTCATTCCTAACTACAGCCTCTTGGTGCCTCTTGACTAGCTTTTTACTATTACTCTGCTATGTTTTTTCACAAAAATCATTCAGCCTCCTGAGGTCATCCCTATTCGTGAGTATACCGCAATATTATTTCTTTATAATTTTATAATCATGAAATCTACCAGGTTAGGTTAATACCACTTTAACTCTTTCATTTTTGAGAGTGGAAAAAATTAAAAATAGCATTCCCGTTGGTGTTTCTTTCTCCTGGAAATAACAGATACATTTCCAATATCTGAGAAAATATACAGGAAGTAGTAAAAAGTGTATGACGTTTGAATAGAACAACCCTATATAGGGTGGTTCAGTAGCAAGTACCTTAAATTAAAGACAGATCTACATTATGAAGAAAATTCTAATCTTTTTCTGAAACCGAACAGTTCTTTCATTATATTTTTCAAAGGGACGAATGATTCTGATTCTCTCTGTGTATATGTTGTTCTTGAAATAAACAAGCATTTGAAAAACTTCGAGTAAGTATACAGTGTGTCTCATTTCTAATGGAAGCACCACTGTATCTAACGCAATTGTTCTGTGAGGATTCTGAAATTCGCAGGAGTGAGAGATATACCCAAAATACACCCTTTCACCAAGTCGGGTCATCTTCATCATAGATTAACGACTCCCTCGGAGTCTATGTCTTCATTGATGAAGATGATATTAGGAGGCAAGATAGGTTGAAAATCACTTCGAATTCGAAATCAGGACATTCAATTCACTAACTATTAGTATTTCTCCAGAAAGTTTGCAGTTTCGAAAAATTTAATTTTGTCTCACCTTTCATGGAAGCACCCCAGTATCTTACGTATTTATTGAGGTAGTATCCTGAAATTCGCAGAAGGAAGAAAGAGTCCTAAGATACAGTAAACGGCCAAATGAGGTTATCATCAGTGACCTACACTGCTCTCCAGCAGCCATAGAACTACCAAAAATAACTGTTAGCGAGCAGTGGTGTATTTCACTGATTATTTTCTTTGTATGATTTTAGACCAGAATGTTCAATTGAGCTGAGCTACCTTGTATAATCTCGAATATATTATGTCGATATACATAGAGTAGTTCCACCAATCAGAAATTTAGAATAATGTCCATTTCCATATAGTAACCAATTCATATCCAGAATCTTTGAAAAGATCGTCTGCAGCAGGATAATATATTTTCTGAATATCAACAAGCTTATAGCTTAATTTTCTCCCGAAGATGCTAACATAGTTAGCGAAACACGTGTCGAGGTGTAAAAAATCGGTTTGGTTATTGGTAAATAAATTTATATATAAATATAAATATAAATTCTTTCTCGGTCTATTCAACAGAAAACAACTACTTTCCTGGCTATATGCCACGACAAACATTGAATTATATCTATTGAACACGCACGATAAGAATTCGAAAACAAAATCTTCTGGAGTAGAGAATTTGCATTCTCCTTTATATAAATATATGTACATAATATCAATCTGAATATTCGACAGAAAACAACTACTTTCCTGGCTATTTGCCACGTCGAACATTGAATAGACCGAGAAAGAATTTTCATCACATGGAGAATGCGAATTCTCAATGTATATATCTTCATAAATATATCCATTTTTTTATGTTCATAATTATATCTGAGGATATTCCTTTTCAATACTTTCACCCAATCACGGGGTTCAAACTTGAATCTATTGAAACTTTTTATTTTTATAGACCTCATTCGCAGATTCGTGATTAGGTTTTCTGAATTCAGAATTTCTTTCTACGTCCTGTATGATGAAAGTCAATTTATCATACATCTAATATTTCTGAAGTTCCCGATCGTATTTCAACACATGGCAACCGTGGCATTATCGATGACATTAGGACCTAAAAATCAACCGAAAAATTTAAAAAATTTATGAAATTAATAGTAGATTGTTTTATTAGGATCAAAAGTGACACTTTGTTCGACAAGCGAATTTTGCATTTGCGAGGCGAAGCGTTTAGCGAAGCCGAGCGAAAGCAAAATTTGCGAGGCATAGGAACAAGACGTGGAAAATGTTAGGGTAGTGAGCATATCAACAATGATAATAGTGATTATTCATTCCGCTCCATACTATACTGTGTTTGACTTGATAATCAAATGAAGCTAAACAATATCGTTGTTTGAGACAAAAAAACTATTGCTTGCCGTGATTATTCAAAAACAAGTTATCCATCCCGAGAATAACGAATGAAATACAGATCAAGCAAGTATTTGAATTATGAAGGCTTCCCTGATCAAAACAAAAATTCTTAACTGAGATGTTTATAATTCCAATACTAAACTATAATAAGGTGTATTTATATCTCCAGCATGGGTATGAAATGCCAAATCTGCAGAAATCGGAAACAAATCAGGTATGCGTCTCAACCCAAATAACCAACCGTCACAATGTTGTTTATTCTTGATGACGTCCAGTACATCCTTTTTAGTTCCTAGGAGCTAAAGCTCAACTTTAGCTCCTAGGAACTATAATTCGACTTCAGCTCCTAGGAACTAAATGTGTTGCCTAGCAACATACCTATTTTTGTGCCAGTAATAGAAACGTCAAATCAAGAGCTAATTTTGGTATCAAAATGGACGACTTTTGTGTCGGTTGCAGAAAAAAGATATTTGAGTGAGTGATTCTATTAGAGAAATAAAAAAATAGTCCACTCGCCTCTTCCATTAGAAGTGAGACACACTGTATAAGAAGCACTCAGTGGCGTAGCTTCCGATGATATTTTCTCGATGTCCAGGCGCCAATACATTGTCTTGCAAAACTTGTTTTTTTTTTCTTCAGGAGACACTATTCAATGGTGTGGCATCTTTCAGCTACATTACTTCTTGTTCATATCTGGGATGGGCCGTAAATATGTTTCTTCAGCCAATGTATGTTGTTACACCTTATTTCCAAGTTTATCCAGCGATGAGCGCAGCTTATGTGAGTTGAAAATTGAAATATTATCAATGTTGAAGGTTGACTTTTTTTCTTCTTTTTTACAGATGGTCGGAACATTCCTTGGACTTGTTTACGGATACGATGCCTATAAAGCTTATAAATATTTTCAAGGGTTCAGATAATAATAATTGTGAAATGCCTTCACGTTTACAATGACAAATTCAAACGAATGATGTGTTTGTTGCTAGTCAGAATACTGCCATCTCTATTTATTTCATGTAATAATAAATTATTCATCAATGTGTATTTGTACCTATACATATTCCAATCAATTTCTCATTCCATAGATATAGATCTTAACAATATCAAGTTTCAACAATATAACTTCTCTTTTTTTGAAATATTTATATACAGGGTGTTGTTTTGACTCAAAACATACCTATTGATTTTTTCAAGGCCGGTCCTGGGATAAGACTTTTTTCATTATGTCAATCGTCACCACTGTGGACAAAAAACATACAAACCAAATATCAAAAGAATGTATAGTCACAGATTAACAAAACCTTATAGTTAATCTGTGGTATAGTATAGAACGGTCCATAATAAGTTATGTTTAATTGAAAAATGGGGAAAATCAATAAATCACCCTGTATCTTGGTAATTCAATACAAAATGAGATTTCACTTACGATTTCGAATAATCCACAAACAGAAATGAATCGTCTATATACAGGATGATCCACGGTGGATAGCCTATTAGAAGTATCTGGAGAACGAAATGACAGAACATTCTGAAAATGATAATTGAACATCCTCTATCCGTCTAAAATATTTTCATCAATACAGTTCTATCAGAAACAACTAGCACCTTTGTTACTTCACACGAAACACCTTGTATTTTATTGCATTTTTAGATTCTCCCTGAAGAGCTGATTTCATCAATGCATCACACTTGGGGTCTAGCAGGAATGATTACAGAGATATAGGGTGTTCAAAATCGAGATTTTTCAATTTTAGTATTTTTTTGTGTGGAACCTATTCATTATCGATCAAAACGGCTTACATATCCCTATCTCAACTTTTGATTCAATGTCTACTGGAATTTAATTAGTAAAAATACAGGGTGCTTCAAGAATCAGAATTCTGATCTACATGATAAAATAAGAAATCGATTTCATATGTACGTGGGTCCGGAACCGCATAGTTTTTTCAACATACAGTGTGTTAAAACTTTTAAAAAAGATTTATGAATATGTCCTTCATAACCTATTGACCAACTAAAAATACAATATTTTGGTCTCCTGAATTGTTTTGATGATTTGCTTCATTTCCATTGGAAAAAATAAATACAAATTTATTGCATGAATTTGTGCCAAAAAATTTCTTCAAAATCAATGTCCATAGACATAGAATGAGTATGAAGATTCATTTTCTTCAAATATTTCTTGCTACATGTTTGACACAGTCTACACTCTGTATATTGAGAACCATGTACTATCGGCCCAGCAAGGCTTAGTTTTCGATAATACAAAGTGTGTCCAACATGTATTATAAAATATTTGAAGAAAATTACTCTTCATTCTTATTCTACGTCTATGGACATGAATCATACATTTAATTCCACCCCTGTTTTTGAACAAATTCATACAATGAATTGGTATTTAAATTTTTCCACGGAAACGCAGCAAAATAGCAATAAAAATTTAAAAAAAAACAGTGACGCACATTTTGTTGACAATAATATACGATAGGGTGCCCCCGGGACGCCACTGGATTTCACAATTCCAATTTAATCATAGCTAAATCAGCCCTGCATAACAAAGAATATCATGGCCAAATTTCAAGAGAATCGGTGAAAGGATATTTGAAAAAACCGACTTTTTCTAAAAAGTTCAACACACTGTATCTTGAAAACTATGCGTTTCCGGACCCAAGTATATATGAAATAAATTTCATGATTTCTCATGCAGAATCACCCTCTTGATTTTTTGCGCCTAATTTCAGGACACCTTGTATATTTCATTCATCTCATCCGAATGAACAAAGATTCTGAAGGAAGAAGATGGTATTATTTATTTTCTGAACTGAGGATGCAGCAGAATAACCGATAGCGGAAATGACCAGATGTCAAGAGCCGTCAGTGGCGGAGGGACGTTCAAAGTTAGGTACGGTGCAAGGAGGTTGCTATTGTTTCATAAAAGTCTATGACATTAGTATAATACAGGGTGCCCGTTGAAAGGCTTATATGTATAAACGAAGAAAATTCTAGGAATATCTTACTTACTTACCCAAAACTTGCACCCTTGGTCATGCTGTGTATTTCTGTGTGGGTATATAAAAGAGAAATTACCGAGTTTTCTGACTCTGAAATAATTCGTGGTTCAATTTCATCATCATTCATTCCTGTTGGAAAGGCATCGAAAAGAAGAGTCTGGAAAAAATCTCATTCTCGAACTTGAGTGAATTGAAGTAATTAGATGTCGCTAAAAAAACTTATTGAAAACATTTTTCGCTGGACATTCCTATAATAGTAATTAATGTAGATAAAAAAATAAAACAAATTCTTATTCCATCGGATTGTGTGATTATTGTTGCGTTTCTCACTGATGAATTTCATCATATTTTATCAATATTATATTGTTATTGTTTGATGTGTGATTTCATTCCTTCTTAAAAGTTTATGAGGTGTTGGCCGTGACAATTTGAATCACCTTTTTTATTATTTATTATTTTTGAATAGTCTGAACACTGCATGTGGTGGTTTATTCATATAACTATTATGATTAGATAAAACAAGAACGAATAAACAACTGATGCTCATAAAGTGTGCATGAAGTCCAGTCGAGTCCATACTTGATTTACCTCAACTTTTTTATCTCTCTGTAGCCTCGACTGTATCCTAATACATTAGGACATTAGAAACCTGACAATAGTTATTTATGTATTGCCATCGGTAATTAAGGCTCTCATAATTCCCGTGATACATAGATAATTTTATTTCTGACTGATTTCATTCATTAGATACCTTCCCGATTGGAAGTTAGACATGTTTTTCCGTATAGTTTCAATGTCATCAGAACGTCAGATGATGATCTTGACTACCGCGATTAGGAGATTCCTTATTGCTACGTTATTGCGTGGTTGTTGCTATGCATTTCTTATTTAATTTCAGCTAGAGGGAATTATAGCATCTATAACATCCCAAGGGAGTTATGACCCTCATTATAGATATCGTAACTATGACGATATAAGCTCATAATGTCACTGTCAGAAATAAAATATATTAAAGAGATCGATTGAACCACAAGCAGGGCAAGAAAATATTGATCAGTAGGTAGGTATAGGTATATTTCATTGAAACTGAATCGAATGATCATACATTTCAATTACAAATTGGTATATTCTTTGTTTATACGTCTATGGTATATACTATATACGGGCTGATTCACGATGAAAGGCACATTAGACGATGCCGCTTATATTTAAAAATAGCAACAACTTTGATTTTCTAAATAGGATATCGTATATATTATTTTCAGATTCTCCTTAAAGAACTGATTTCATTGATCTATAACACTTGGGGTCTAGCAGTGACAATTACAGTGTGAAAAATCGAGATTTCTCAACTTTAAGATTTTTTTGTGTCGAAACTATTCATATTTGATCAAAACGATTTCCATGTCCCTATCTCAACTTTTCATTCACTATCAATTGATATTTGATTGAAATAGGCACAGGGTGGTCCAGAATTAAGATTTTCAACCACCCTGTATCTGTATATGAAGACCGTTTTGACTTATTATGAATAGAATCGACACAAGAAATTATTGAAGTTGAAAAATCTCGATTTTTCACACCCTATATCTTTGTTATCATTTTCGCTGTAACCCTAGTGTAATAGATCGATGAAATCAGCTCTTTAGGAAGAATCTGAAAATGAAATAATAAATAGAGTGTCCAATTTAAAAAATCAAATCATTCACTTTCCTAGGAGTCGAATTGATTGATAAGAGTCATGACTGAGCTGATAAAAATGTGAGTACTATCTAATATACAGTGTGCTCATAAAATACACCCCAACGATAGGTAGTTGAACTTTTGAAATGCTAGGAATTTCCTTTTTTACTTTTTTTTTGCTTTCAACGGTTGTTCGAGAGCTACATTTTGATTTCGTCTGGCTATAACGTCTTTCAATTCTCCATGAGCATGAAATTTTCAGAAAACAAATATTATCCAAAACAGAATCAGTATCTTTTCATCTTCAACTCTATTGGCGCCTGGAAAAGTTATCTATCCAGAAAATTGTTGCATGGTCAACATCGTTCTTGATTGTGAATAGATATTTCCTCAGTTTTTTGCTGAACCTGGAATAATTGGAAGATATTTTAAATAAGGAAGGTATCATTGATGGAAAGAGATCTAGTCGAAAGGATCCTGGTATGAGATTTCAAACATTATCATCAGCAAAAATAGAAGACAAAAAAAACCGGGATATACCTACCTATCAAAAACAGACTTCTGTTATCTACAAAGTTCCAGAAAACGGAAAAATACGTGGAATAAATTAACATTCTGGGTATTGTTTACTATACTCGAAAGAAGACCCGCTCGTTCAATATCAATCGCTGTGACGCCAATGACATTCCATGGCTGCCTTTGGCTTACCTAACTCATAAAAACTCCGGCACATATATAGATTACAGTGCAGGCCAGCTTCTCTGAAATAATTATTGTGTTCTGTTATTGACTGTGAACTGATATTGGTACCACTGGTACCAGCAGTACCAGCAACCGCATTCATCGATCGGTCGGTACTACCACGGTACCACTCTCTCTGATGAGTCTTATGCTTGACATTTTAGAACTAGGTACCCAAGAAGCAGCACCCATAACAGTCCTTCTATTGACTGTTTCGCTCTATTTTACGATATTTTACTTATAGTTTTTGAATAAATCATTGGCGGGGTACGGGTCAGGGTAATTCGGTGATTCTTGTTCTTCTTCTTTTGTCGAAGATTTCGACGTGTAGTGATGGTTCTGTGCAATCTGTGATATTTGGTAACTGTCTGGGGATTTTTGTAATTGTACGATGACCGAAGAAAATTTGGAAGATAGTTTGATACCATGGATGAAAGGTGAGTAATGTCTTTACCATCGAATATCAACTTTCCCTTCACATATATTATACAACTTTAATTGTTGTTATATTGAGTACATACCTATTGAGTACAGATGCATATGTTGACTTATATGAAT